GATAGACAAAACCTTGTCTTCTAAGCTCATCTGATCGCCTTCCATGGCGAACAACGACGGGATACTGTTGTTCGCCATCAACGGTGTTACCCCGGAGTCAGCCAGACGGAGAGACGGACTCCTCGCCGTTCCAAACATGGTAGGCCTGGAGACTTCGCCAGGAGGACATTCAAGAGACGCGCAGGATAAGCGCGGTAGAAGTTTTGGTAACTCTCAGAGCCCAGACGGGCATCGGCGTTGACGAGAATCGCACGCTAGGCATCTGGAGCACAAGTTAAGAGACCAAGATGTCGTCATCCAGAGAATGGCGGCGGAGATGGAAGATCTTAAACGGTGTGTCAAAGGGAAGGGTGTTGCTGGAGTGGGAGACCACAGTGAGCGCATCGAACCACGCCATTCAGGCAGTCAGAGCCAGCGACACACTCCCTCCCTTTTTATCACCAGAAGCTACAGGGTTGGAGAATCCGACGCGCCTGTAGAGAAGTCTAGCGCGCAAGATAGTACCTATCAACCCTCACGTTCGGCGACGACGTCGAGGTATTCCTATTCCGCTCGCTCAGAGGACTTGCGGGCAGTCTTGAAGGAGCGGGCTCGCCGGCGGGAAACTCAAAGGGTGCCAGCACTCCAGCGGCTATCTTACGGGGGCCGCGCCAGTGAAGAGGTCATAATACCACCACCTCGCCAAGCCGTGCCTCCCCATCTAGACACAGATTTTGCGCGGCTGAGAGCCACACCCTTCTCCCTTGAGATAGAAACCACTCCTCTTCCCATGGGCTTCCACCAGCCCATGTTTACGCTCTACGACGGAAAGACTGATCCATACATGCATGTAAGCCACTTCCGGCAAGTCATGATCGGACATAGGCGCAATGATGCTCTTATGTGCCTTATCTTCCCGTCAAGTTTGGGTGAGCTAGGCTTGAAATGGTTTGAGAGGCTGCCGGAGGAAAGCATCGAAAGGTGGCAATAGTTGGCGGAAGCATTTGTGACTCGTTTCAAGACCAACACTAAAACGCCAAAGGAGGTGGACCACCTTCTCAGTGTCAAAATGGAGTCGAGTGACACACTCAACTCCAGATACTGGGAAACCTTCAATGAGATTTTAGATTGCCCGATCAACCTGGCAATCACCTAATATAAGCGCGGTCTCCCGGTCGAACATAGGCTGCGGGACTCGCTTACCATGAACCAGCTGACATCCATGGGCCAACTAGTGTAGCGCATCAATGAGCACATCCGAGTTGAAGACGATGCAGCCGCAGCTACCGTGATGACAAGTCTGGTAGTAGAGAATAAGAGAGTATTGCAAAAGGTTCACGCAGTCAGACAAGATGATGGCCACGCAAACCGCCATGGAAGAGATATAGGGAGTTCGATTTTTGGAAGACGTCTATAAGAAGGCCGAGGAAAAAGGGCACGTTGGGTAATGTGGGGTCAGGAGGTGGCGATGGCGCTCGAAGGAAGTCTGTCACTCTACTTCGGTGTGGAGCGGAGTATCGGTAGGTTGGTACGTAGCCAAGAAGTTCGTGACAATCTTGGTTTCGGTACCGCAGTACGGTTCTGATGGCTGCTTCGTTGCGATAATGGTAGTTGGCTTGCAAAGCCTCAATTGCTGCAAAAGAAGAAAAGATATTAAGTACGGAATTTAGAAAGGAAGAAATTTGACCGAGCAGTTAGCACGGCTTACATGTTTCACCGAAGTTTTTGCTTATATACCAGCCCGGCATGTCGGTCGTTTCATAATTACCGGTCAAATTTCTAAAAGTCGTCGTCGTCGTGCATGTCTTTGTCCAGGGTGCCGGTCACTATCTTCTCCTTGTCTGGTCTAATCTTTGAATAATAGGCAAGGCCGTTGCCCATATGCCCGAGGGTATATTGGCGAAGTATTTCGGCTAATCCTAGGTTGGTTCCTAGCCGGTTGTTCAGTTCGTGGATCCCGTTAATTATCCTGTAAGTGTTGGTTGAGACTTGGGTTGGTGCTAGCCTGGTGTGCCGTAAGAACTCGCATAAAAGGGGGTTAACCAGGAAGCGGAGGCCACCTTCTATTATGGAGAGCACGGTGAAAGGGCACTGGTCTAGTCTGTCCCAGGGGGTTGTTTCCTCGGCACCGAGCTCGAGATGTACGTCGGCTGGGATACCGTATTCTTCCCGGAACGTGGCTAGAGTGACCGGCGTGTCGACCAGGAAGCGGTAGCGCCCCATGTGTAACCGGTTGGTTTTAGCACGGCTGTGTTGGTTTGGCACAAACTCTTGTTTGGTGGCTACTCGGTCTTTGAGAGCCTCAGTGTTGGTGCGTGGTCACCTTGAACTCTGCAGGAAAATGAGGGTAAGTGTAAGTGGGAGCGAGGTCGCGCAAAACGAGCTTGACTTTAGCTCGGTCAGGTGGAGTGCCAGACAACCCCGGTCATGAAGGTAAATCCAGAAGCTCGGCCGCTCAAGCGGACCAGATGTTAGCCCGGTCAAGCGGTCAAACCCTCTACCTACCTCAGTTCCTACAGGAGTTTTTACAAACTCGCAATTTGCTCGGTTTAGATGTTTTTTGGGATCAAAAGAAGACCTGGAGCCCGGTCCGCCCCAGATCTTCATGTGTTCATCACTGAAGCTGAAGAACAGCAAGGAGAACAGGGGGCATGAGAGGTTTTTGGGAGCTATATCCTAAAACCTATTACTTTTGTGCCTTAAGATGTGAAATACCGAAGGAAAAAGCAATAAAGGGGTTCGAAAAACTTACCAGAATGGGGTAGAAGTCGAATCTTTGAGCACGAATGCAGAAGAGGGCAATAATGGAGCTTGATGAGGGCACTGCGACGTTAGGTCGTCTTGAATGGAAGTGAGTCAGTAAGAAGAAAATGAAGGGGGAGTTGGCGTGTTTGTAGGGGAAAACAATCGCCAAAATTTGAATATGAAAGGACGTTGGGGTTGGCTGCTCGAGGCCAATAAATGATCAACGCGTGTCCCTATTGACGGCGGCGTCAGTATTGAAGAGACAGACAGGCGAGTTGAGGCGTCGACCGGGCAAGTCTAGAAACCGAGCATGTCGACTAGCGCGGTATACAACTTGTGGAGGAAAGACCGGCGGGGAATATAGCCCGGTTAGGTCACGTAATCCCAGTCACGGTTTTGCGCCGACGGAATTAAAGGGCAATTGAGAGGGAGATTTATGAGCTGGAATGGGCAGTGGTAAAGGCCGGGCAAATTGAGGGCCGAGCGCATTTGGGCTATGATAGCTTGGGCTTGCCCGGAGATGGTTCTGCTCGGTTAAGGTCCAGGGCCATGTTGGGACCGAGCTACTTGGGCTTGTCCATGTGGGGACCGAGCTACTTGTGCTACTCGGCCGAGATGATCCCTGCCATTCGGGATTCCACGGTTCGCGTATTTAGCTCGGCAGGAAGGGCTTCGGTTTACCAGCTCAACCTGTCTTGAGCTCGGTTAAGCCGGAATGCAACTGAGCACGGTCGTTATGGAGCTCGACGAGTGGAGTACTCGGACTCGTTATCCAACACAGTTGTGTGAGGCCTAGGTGATGCCGCCGGGCTGCCGAGCTCCCACTAATGCAGTCTGCCGGTTTGGTTAGGTGGTGATTGCGGGATTTATGCTGACAGATGGGAGAGCAGCTCTACGTGTCAAGAGGCTAACAGGAGCAGATTTGAGCGCAGAAAGTATATAAGCATGACTACGCCTCCCATGCTGTGCATAGAACATCATTTGGTGAGATAGACTTACATTCATTGAGTTTCTCTCTCTCTCTCTCTCTCTCTCTCTCTGAGTGTGTGCTAACTTGACCGTCGAACGGGTTTCCGGCAACACACCGCCGGGTAGCTCACCGTCGTTGTACTTTCAGGTTGATCGGATAGACAGAGTTTGGACGAAAGGAGTACGGACAGCGACGAATATTTGCTCCCCGTACAGGAGTGTATATGATTTCATATTTGCAAATAGTGGAAGATTATAGACATATTTATAGATTTACCAGAAGGCTACACATACGCGTCTCTGTAGAATAAAAAATTGAAAAGAAGATGAAAAAAAAAATTTTAAAAATAAAATTTGAAATAAATAAAATGGGTAATCATCATCACCATCACAATCATATCTATATATATATATATATATATTAAAAGTAATATTTTTTCATACTCAGGTATTTTGTGGGAGTTAATATTTGACACAAAATTTTCTTTAAAGAACAAATTAGAACAAAATATTATCATTATTTTTTTTTTTATGTGTGTGTGGTTGCATTTAAAAAAGGTTATGTACCCTATTATAAAATGTGTAATTTTATCATAAAATTTTATAAAGGCTTTATTTTTCAGATGTCTTTTTTATTTACATATAAAATTCTACACAAATTCAATTTAAATTATAATAACCAATTTTATATGGACTTTATTGGAGAAATATTTATTTTGCATATATTTTTCATCAATTATTATAATATTTTAAAAAATATTTCGATATACGAATAAATAAATAAATAAGACAGAATATGTTTAATTATGTGTATCGTACGAATTAAATTAATTTTTATTTATATTTTTAAAATTTTTTTTATTTATTTTATTGATGTCTTAATATTAATTTATATTTATTTATTTTTTATTTAACATAAAATTATTTATTACAAAACATTTATATTTGACTTAAATTTTAAATTTTATATACCTATGCACACAATATAGATGAATAATTCAAAAAGAATATTAAAGAACAAAATTAATGCTTTTTACGTAGTGTATTTATACAAGATCAAAGAGAAATCAAATAATATATTTACTTTTCAATGTTTTTTACCCTTAAGCTTAATCAAATAAAAGGTAGAGAAAAATACAACATTTTCTTTTTTTTTTCTCTCCTCTATTCCTAAACAGTTCATGTTAAAGAAGAATAATCATCTAAAATATACAAGTCAGATACAGATTAATTGTATTTAACCAAACTATAAAAGCACCAAAAAAATATTGTTGATTGCATAAAAATTAATGAAATCAAGACCTAACCTTGAGTCTCAACTCAAATCTTGCTTTCTTCCCTCGGATTCGAAGTGTCTGGCTTCGATTTCTTCTAATTCTTGGACAATGCTTCAACCACTGAGTTCTAGGGTTTACAAAAATTCACAAGCCTTGGGTTAGGGGGCCTCAAGGACGCTCTTGCTGAACTTCTGTGCACTTGCAGCAATAGCTTCTGATCTTTTACTTATAATAATCGGATTAAACTGTCCCATATCCCAGAACCTCAGCGGATTCTTCCATGGTCCTTCCATTTTGAATTTTGGAATAATAAATATATATTTATTTTTATTTTTTTTAATCAAAGTGTAATTGCCAACTGTCCAAGTCTCATAGCAAAATATTATTGTAATTTTTATGGTGTTAAAAAAAAATTTAGTGAAATACTGTGGTGGGTTGTTTGGATTGGGAGGGTCGGCTTGGTGGTCAGCAACACTGTGGTGAGAAGCCATGGATTTAGTCGTGACCATACACCTTGGTAGGTGGCAGGAAAGGGTTATTGGGACAGGGTCTCCGCGATAATGAGCACAACTGGCGTACAGAGTTAAGTTGTTTCCACAGATAGCGCCAACTGATAATACTGCGGGTTCCAGATGGAATGAGTTGGACTGATCCACGCTTCCCAAACTGGTATCTGGGTGACCAAGCCCAAAGAGGAACCTGCACAAAAGTTCAACGGGGAACGGGGAGTCTCCCAGCGAACCCTCCGACGAGCAAGTTAGAAAAAGAAGTGAAATGTAGAGATAGATTAGAGATAGAAAGCTTAAACTTTTTCTTGTCTTCGACGTTTGCTTATATCCTCTGGTAATCATTTCGTTGTCCCTTCCGACCGAAAGTCTATACTCTAACTTACCAGAGGATATAAGCAAACGTGGTGAAGGTGTTCTGTCCCGACGGAGAGGGATTATCGCAATAAATGCTGTAAGGGGCTTCATTAATGGCGATGTGCTGTGGCAATAACTTTGCAGATCTTTGTCTGCTTATGTGGCTTGCCATTCTCTTGCCTTGTGTCTTGATGTCATTGGTTTTTATTGCTACGTGGGGCTTCAGCAATGCTAGGCTTTAGTATTTGAGTTATGTACTGGGCCCTAAATGGTGGGCTATAATCTTTATGGGCTTACCCATGTCAATAATCCCCCATTCCCAAGTGCAGCTTTAGTCTAACGAAGGGAATAATGAAGAAAATGAGGGTTGTGAGAGAACGGCAAGGTGAAGGCCGACCGAGAGGGGTGACTGACCATAAGGAGGGCTGACCGTGAAGGTGGCCGAGTGGAGGGACCGACCATGAGGAGGGTCGACCGCGAAGGGTGGCCGAGTGGAGGGACCGACCATGACGAGGGCCGACCGCGAAGGGTGGCCGAGTGGAGGGACCGACCATGAGGAGGCCGACCGCGAAGGGTGGGTGGTGCAGTGCGGGGCTCGAGAAGCGGCGGGGCACGTGTTGAAGCGAAGTGGAATAGATAGGGAATGGGAAAGGGGCAGTGGATCATGGTCGTACACATGGCAGAATCTCGTAGTGGGGAAGGTTAGGCGTTGAGCAAGAAGTGAAACAATAGGTCATTATAGGGTGTGGAAAAGATAGTTTTGGCGGATTTTTGAAAATTTTCAAACTGGCGAAATTTAATTGTGACCCTTGGAATATAGGCAAACCTTGGGCGTTTGGTATTATCCGTTTTACATACTTCTTTGCAAACAACCAAAATATTCCAAGTGTAAACTCCTTTGTGCCAAGTGATACTCCTTTGCAACATTTTGTGGACTATCTCGCACCAGCATCTGAAGCTATTCGTAGACACACAAGAGGGATGGCCCAAGAAGAAGCAACAATAGCGAGGGTTGATCCACTGGGCGATGACAATGCGGTGGATTTGGCAGAACAACACCGGACGGAGAGGCGAGTGGGAAGCGAGGGGGGGGCCAGTGAGGAGACCTCGTTCGTCCACAATGATAGCGGTTGCGCAACCAATCAGCTAGGTTGAGCCAGATCACTGGCATACGAAGGCCGACAAGTCGACCGTTACCGCGGAGGAGTTGGTGGGTATACGCGAGAAATACCAGATTCCCGCAGAAATAGAGTTAAAGCTGCCGACAACGAAGGAGAGGCCATCCGACGCCCGACCGGGGGAGTTTTCCCTCTACGAGGAGGCATTGAAGGGAGGGTTGAGGTTGCCGCTTCCGCAGGTGGTAGTGGATGTCCTAAACCGGTTGGAAGTGGCGCCAGGTCAACTAATGCCCAACGCGTGGAAGATTGTACTGGCCTGTGCATGCGCATGGCCGAGGGCGAATGAGGAGGCGGCTATGACGGTGGATGAGTTTTTTGCATGCTACAAGGCCTCGGGGCAGCAAAAAACTTGGGTCACTTTGCAGGCGGTGGCAGGGAAGGGCCTGGTAGCGGGGTTGTCGTCATCAATAAAGAGGTGGAGGCCGCGGTGGTTTTACGTGTCCACAAACGGAGGAGTTGGAGTGTGCACGATGTGGAGAGTGCCCACCAAGTCTGTGGAGCCAAAGCTGGGGGCAGCAGCTAAGGAGAGGGTGAAGAAGGTGAAGACATGGAGGGAGAAGAAGGGCACCAAATGGGACGAGCTCGTTCAGCTGTCAGCCTTGTTTGCCGCAAGGTTAGGGCCTCAGCCGACCAGTGGAGACCTAGAACCGGCGGAATTAGAGGCGAGAAGGAAGGTGCAAGAGGCAAAGGATAGGACCATTCTCGCCATGGCCAATAAATTCAAAGAGTCACAAGCAGACCGGCCGCCGAAGCCGATCGCGAAGGAGAGGATCCGACCGCGCCCCAAACCGCTGGGGGAAAAGGACTTGGGTGAATTTGAGCCGTGACCGCCCCCAATTGATCCTTTGAAGGAAAGGGCCAACAAGAAGGTGGAGGCTGTGGTGAAGAAGAAGAGAAGGGTAAGGGAGAGGGGGGAGGGGCTAGCCCTGAAGAGAAGGTGGTGCCAGAAGAGACCTCTGATGTGGGCCGGGAGGAGGGGGCGAAGGAGGGGGAGGGTTGTGGGACTGTCCCTGAAAGACAAGTGGAGGGTGGGGAAACTGGCCCCTTAGAGGGGGTGGAGCAGTAGACCAAGGGGGGTCCTGCGCCCCAAGAAGAAGAAGGGAGGGCCAGGTTGAAGACCGCTTTTTACCACGTCCCTGCAGTGTCTGGGCGGTTGGGAGGAGAAGGAATAGAGGCCAGAACCGTTGCAAATCGCCTCCTAGGAGTAGTAGAGGACGCAGCCGTGCGTTCGATGGCCAGTTTCTTTGAGGTTAAGCTGTTAAGGGGATTGTGTTCTGCCCAAATGGAGGTGACCGCCCTAGTAGGTGCCCTTCTGAACAAGGCGGCGGCTGCAAAAGGCGAAGTGAGGCCACTGAAGGCGAAATTGGAGGGGGTGGAGGCTCAACTTGAAAGCTTAAGGGGCAGATTGCAAGGTGGCATAGGGCCACGCGAAGTGCGTGTGCTAGGGGGTTGGAAGAGGCTCAGAAGGCCAAGAAGATGAAGGTGTTGGCGGTGGTGCAAGGCAATGTTGCCGATCGCGCCCATACTGAGCTGCTTGCGGGGAAGTTGGAGCTGGAGGACGAACGCCGCAAGGTGGTGTCGCTCGAGTTCCAGCTGGTTGGCGAGCAAAAGAAGCTGGAAGAGGCACAGAAAGCTTGCACTGTCGCCAACGAACGGTGGGAAGAGGCGATGACTTGTAACAAGGATCTACGCGCCCAATCGATCAAAGAAAAGGAAGAAGCAGATCTGAATATTGCGAGGTTGGAGAAGGATCTGGCAGACGAGCGTGCCAGGGTAGCGGCAGAGAAAGCGGGGTTGGAGAAGGAGTTGGAGGAAGAAAGGACCAAGGCAGCCTCTGAAAGGGCAACATACCCCGACTTATGCATCGCAGCAGTAGAGCAGTTCAAGGGGTCTGTTGACTTTCAGATGGCTGTCGATGCCGCGATTGCTAACAACTTGGCGAGAGATGGGTTTGGGGGGGCTGGCCAGTTGGGGGCGACCGCTGGGAGTAGGAGTGAAGAAGAAGTGATCCAGAGCTTCCAGCGGTCAGACTTCTACAAACACAAGATGACTAAGTTCTGGGACAGTGGTTGGAAGATGTTTAAACGCAAAGCAGAAGAGCTGTTCCCAGGCTTGAACTTTGGTAGTGTAAAGATTGACGAAGACGACGTGGCCTAGACCCCTTTAGATGAGGGTGTTGAAGAAGAAGACCTCGTCTCAAGTGAAGAGGAATGATTTGTATGAACATAATTTGTACTCAGAGTTTTGATTGTTGTTTGTTTGTTTTGTTTTTTTTTTTTTTGGAAATTCCGCAATAAACTTATGTATAAGTTTGCGAATGAATAAAATTATGAGTTGTGTTTGTGTTTTTATGCTATTATTTGTAGAGAAGGCTGGGCTGGAGAAGGAGTTGGTAGACGAGCCTGCCAAGGCGGTGGCGAAGAAGGCTGGGCTGGAGAAGGAGTTGGAGGAAGAAAAAACCAAAGTAACGTTTGAAAGGGCAGCATACCCTGACTTATGCGTCGCAGCAGTAGAGCAGTTCAAGGGGTCTGTTGACTTTCAGATGGCTGTCGATGCCGCGATTGCTAACAACTTGGCGAGAGATGGGTTTGGGGGGGGGGCTGGCCAGTCGGGGGTGACCGCTGGGAGTAGGAGTGAAGAAGAAGTGATCCAGAGCTTCCAGCGGTCAGACTTCTACAAACACGAGATGACTAAGTTCTGGGACAGTGGTTGGAAGATGTTTAAACGCAAAGCAGAAGAGCTGTTCCCAGGCTTGAACTTTGGTAGTGTAAAGATTGACGAAGACGACGTGGCCCAGACCCCCTTAGATGAGGGTGTTGAAGAAAATGACCTCGTCTCAAGTGAAGAGGAATGATTTGTATGAACAAAATTTGTACTCAGAGTTTTGATTGTTGTTTGTTTGTTTTGTTTTTTTTTGGAAATTCCGCAATAAACTTATGTATAAGTTTGCGAATGAATAAAATTATGAGTTGTGTTTGTGTTTTTATGCTATTATTTGTATTGTTTGATGATCTGCAAAGAATGAAAATGGTGGCTTACACAGGGCTTGTGTATAAATTATTGTGAAGTTTAAAATGTAAGAAAACCTCAACACAGAGTGAAGTTTAAAATGTAAGAAAACCGTAATGCAGAGTGAAGTTTAAAATGTAAGAATGTTAAAAACGTGAAGTTGCGAATTATGACCCCTCAGGGAGCCAATCTGACTTGGAAAATGTTGGACTGC